TTTTCTTCTAGCAAACAAGTTTGTTCAATAGTATCAAATATAACACTTTCTATATCTAAAAAAGAATTGAATATCACAAAAATACAATAAAGGAATAAGAATGAAATAGAAAAAAAAACAGACTGACTTTATGAAAGACTCACTGCATGCAAGACTTTAACAAAACTTATGTTAAACTACAATATTTGACCAAACACTAACAGTATGTACAGCTGTGTGTCATCTGCATAACTCTGAAAACGTACACAATGAAATTTGTCTACAAGGGAAAACAGACTATAAATGGAATTTTAAAAAAAGAGAAGACCTAATGTTGAGCCTTGTGGAACACCATTTATAAAATATGCTTATCTGTACTAAATAAAATAAACCGAACATGCACTTCTTTCTTACCAAAAGCCCAGTGTTGCCGTGCCGCCCATGTGTTCACAAATGAATCAGAAGGCCGGAGCAGGCACACACTTCAGGGAGTTGGCCATTACTGGAAAAAAAAAAATGGAACTGATAATCATCTCACTGCTGAGCAACGAGTCGAAATGGAAATTCTGTGTGTTGTTTTTTTAAACGCGTCCCTCCCTTAGAAACTGATGCGTTTGAGGTATGAATGTACAACATGTGTGTGTTTGTTTGTCCTCAGAAAGCTGAGGCCATGTGTCACTGAAACCACATGAGGATGCGTTTGACTGACTGACATGCCTGCGCCGCCGGTTGTCATCGGAACCAGCCTGTTGATGAGGGTGATGGTCGACTTTACAAATTACTCACCAGCCTGAGGGGGGGAACGGTGGTGAATTTCAACACTGACATCGGGCTCTTTTGTTTGTTCTGCCTCATTCAAAAGAACAGTTCTTTGACATTCCCCCCCACCCTGTAAATATGCTCTCAGGCTGTTTTTATAGCAGCAGTTTAGAAATCTCAGGGCAGGGTGCGACATTGTGTAAGACGGAAAAGGAATGAGCGGAGTGAGACAGTCGACCACAGACGAGAGCTTTACTATTGTGTAAAGCAGCAGTGACTGGGCTGTGGTCGGCCTCACTCTGCTGGCATGTGGGCACTACTGGGTTTCACACAGTCATGTCGAAATGCTGCTTCTCCGAGACTCCTCACAAACACCTTCATTAAGGGATTTTCTCATTACTCAACCCAAAATAGCACTCTGTCCCGCTGCGGGCCTTTGTTTGTCTGTTTACATCGAAGTGTTTATCTGATGCTCTTTTTCCACACAATTTAACACGTGTGATTGATTATTAACATTACCGGCTGCTAATTAAGAATGCAAGGCCCGGCTTTAATGCTACAGATGCAATAAGTCATCTACGATAGAAGAGCGCTCGCTGGAGAGAAAGTTACCTCCAATTAACGGGCCTCGTAACTCATTTTCGACAATGTGAAATGTCAACGCGTGATGCGGTTCAGTTCTAAACACTTGAACTGACAGAACCACCCTGAACCAGACAACCTTGAGAAAGCTTTTCAAGGCATCGTCACTAATACTTGTGCACACAACGTTTGGCAGATCGGACAATATCACAACTGTTCCAAGTGATCCTTTATGACTCTGGTTTTTCCAGTCCTGATCCACGGTGGCAGCCTGACAAAGGGCTGATTGTGGAGCGAGGGATCCCATTGGTCTTCTCCAGCGGCTACATCGGCATGTGATTTGTCGACTTGTGTTTGGATCTCAGAAACGTGTTGTGGCTGAGCTCCTGCCCCGCCTCCCCCCCTCCAACACTCAGAGAGCGGTGTGGTCTGACACCCACTGAGTTTGCATTCTGAAGGAAAACGATAGCTGACTGATGCATGACTCATGGCATTTCCTCTACCAAAAATGCATCAAGGACTGAAAAAAGAAAGGCCTGATTCTTGCGTAACTGAAGTGGCAGAAAGCACTTTTTGCTCCACAGGCGTTCAGGTCGCTCCCTCTCAGTAGCCGCCGGTGGCTTTGTGAAGTTATGCCGAGCTGAAGAGGCTGAAGGGAGTGCCGTATCACGCCGTACAGTACATGGAACACCGCAGCTTACCTCACTCGCAAAGGTGGGGTCGACACGCCCAGAACAGAAGCAGGTCCGACCGCATTCTCCCTTCTCACCTCTGTCTTCTTTTGCAGTCAGCCTTGTCCTGTGGTTTTGCACGCTCCGTGTCATTGTCAGATTTTGCAGATGCAGATGCATCGCTGTGGGTTTTTTTTTTTTGATTAGACTCGTTCGCCTTGATCGTAAATCATCGTCAAGATATCTCAGATGTAGCGCAGAATTCACGGAGGTTAGGCGATTGATTTTACGGAGGTTTGGCAATCGCATTCCAATCCTGAATTGCAGAATTTCAACGGACTGAATTTTTTTTTTTCCCAGAGGGATTTGGGTGGGACGCCGACCGTACATGAAGTATCATGACCAAGGCGTGGCGGCTCAAATACAAACTGTTTAAAATGAATGAATTGCTTCAGCCTCCTGTGTGTTCCCCTTCTTTCTATGTGCATTAACATGTGCATGTACCTGAGCGGTTAACCTCATGACCCCACCAGAATGCAGCCCCGCAGGTGGCCGTCAGTATCGGTGGGTCAGTTATTCCCGAGGCCTGTCATTATCTCGGCGGTTCTACACCTGAGGCTGACATGATGCCGACCAGGTATTCTGCTTTCCTTTGACTCACGCTCTTGTTGGGCTGTTGCCATAGCTTTACACTCACCAAACAAGTGACTTTGGTCTCCCAGGCAACGACCAGAATATTTTTGTCTGTCACATCTACTTCTGGCTCTCCTGCACGGCTTCGTCATGTTCTGGTTTTAACTATTAAGATGTTATCAGACGGTTCCAGCTATCTGTTTATTTTTTCGGTCACAGCTGATCTCGGAGATCAAATCTTTGCAGTCTGAGGCCGTTGTGTCTTCAGGTTTTCATTCTCTTACACTCGTTAAGGGAGATTTCATCACTTTTGGAAGGATTAGATGATTGGATTTTAGAGGTCAAAGGTCACTGCGACTCAACAGAAGATGCTTTTGGACATAATTAGGAATTCAAACACTAATTATGACAACATTTTAGGGGATAATATGACAAACTGATGGTGTTTTATATCCAAAAGTTCATAAAACTCAGGAGATTTTAATCAGATTTGGCCAAATACCAACATGGTGACACTTGCTCTGAGTTCCCACTTATTTACCTCCTTCAGGTTTCTGCTAAATATCTGGAATGAGTCAGACGCCACCTGTTACCTCACTGGTCGGCGAAGGCGTTCAACCACAAGGTTGTTCGTTAAAGTCTCTCTGCACTCAGCGATTAAACCTCTGAAACTTCTTCTGATTGCGTCAGAGTTCAATCTTCTAGAAACTGTTTCTGTGACTTTAAAACGTCTTACAGGTGACACTACACCTGTTGCTACATCTGCTGCCTCTCTCTCTCTCCACCCACTTCCCACTCGAGCTCACCAGCCACACCTCTGACTCAAACGCTGCAAACTGAGCGTTGAGGTGGGAATGTTCAGCCACGGTGTCGTCCTCCAGCACACACAGACATGATGACGAGGTTAAAGAACAGGAAGTCGATTGAGAGTTCAACAAATGTTAGATTTTACTCTTCCACTCTAACTTCTGTCTGGATTTAGACACCTGGTGACGATTCAACTGCCTACACAAGAGAAACACACACACAAACTATTTCAATGATTTTTCCACCTTTGCTGAACAACTACTGCTCAGCTGCTCTCAGTGGTTTGACCAAGTGGAGCTAAAAATGCCAAAAACTGCACTTCCTTTAGGCCCCCGATCCCCATGTTTACAGCCTGATACAATAAAAAGATTTGGTCTCTATAGCTAACGTTTCCATTCATTGCCACATATCGAGCCTCCAGATTCTCGTCAACAGCGTGGATGGCTTCATCATCAGTCTGAAAATGGCGACCACACATTTCAGTTATAGAAACAGAAGGAAGCCAGACGCTGCCTGGTCCGGTGAGTACGGTTCTTCTGCCACCTGTGCTGTGTGGACGGGCGTCCTGCAGCAACAGCAGGAAACGTCCTCTCATTTTTTCTTTGATTACCTCAAACATTTGAGTTTTTAGTGACATAAGACTTTATAGCATGCAGTAATGTCCCAAACTTGAAGCCACGCCTCTTGTTCTTTTGCAGTATGCTCGTAAAATTCACCTGTTCTAATTGCATTAATGCCAAAAGTTGAGCATAATTGAGGGTGTGGCCATTTGGACCGACTGGTAGGTGTTGCCATGCAACAGTCCACCAACCACCTCGGCTCCAGTCACGCGCCACCTCGGCTCAGTGTGGGATTAGCCGGTGTTAGGAGGAGTCAGTGACTGTCACACTGGGTTTTTTGAATCTCTGTTGAGAAAATCTACAGGTGACCTCACGCAGGGTTCGTCTGTCTTGATGTCTTGTCGATGAATTTGACATTCCAGCTGCCTTCATCTCCTACACTTAAAACACCCCTAAACCACTCTGAGGTGCTTCCAGCTAGTCTGACTCACTTTATGTAGACTTTAGGTAGAAGTCTGACATCTGCGTCGTGCATCTCACACAGCTTTGTCCTCCTCTTCTGCTATCTGCAGAACAAATCACAACACTCTGCATAGCTTCTGAGCTCAGCACCGCTCAAGATGATTGTGATTGGTTTAAAGACACACCAACTATCCATCCATCATCTCTACACCTTAATCCTCACTAGGGTCATGGGGGGTTGGAGTCTATCCCAGTTGACTCAGGGTGAAGGCAGGTTCACCTGGACAGGTAACCAGTCTATCACAGGGCTACACTTAGAGACAGACAACCAAGCACACTCACATTCACACCTACGGACAATTTACAATCACCAATTAACCTCAGCATGTTTCTGAAGCCGGAGAACCCGGAGAGAACCCACGCTGCACGGGGAGAACATGGAGAAAAATGCAAACCGGCGACTTTCTAGCTGCGAGGCAACGATGCTAACCACTGAGCCACCTTGCAGCTCACATACCAACTAGAAAGGTCATTTTGTTCCCCCCAATGTGGCAGAACTTTGACGAGGTGCCGTCAGACTGTTCCTCACAGGTTTGATTTGACAACATTTCCACTGGCGTTTGCTGTGATTCATCTGGTGCTTACATTTAATATGAATGATCAGCTTCTCCCCACATTTAATTTAAAATGCAGCTTCACCTTCTCTGAGCGATTGCAGTTTGGCTCCCACGTCATCCATCAAACTCAAATGATCAGAAACAGTTTCTCATTCACACATCAGTGGTGACAGAGCTGCCATGCAAGGTGCTGCCTGCCACCGGGAGCAACTTCAGGTTCAGCGTCTTGCCCAAGGACACTTCAACTGTGGAGGGGCGGGGATCGAACCGCCAACCTTGCGATTGGAGGACAGCCTATAGCCGCCCACACATTTCTAATTTCCTAAACATCTTTGCAGAACTAAAGTGATTTTTGATGTTGAATATGTTTTTTACTTTTACTGCCCAAAACCAAAAACCTAAATCTAGTTCAAAAAATCATTTTGTGTGTTTTCACTTTGACTTTTCTTTATTGCTGCTCCCTTTCTGAATGCACACAGAATATTAGAAAGTACATTTCAGGCCTGTTTGTTCTCTGAGGACACATCAGTCTGTGTCTCATGGTTCTGGCATCTGGGCTTCGTCCCCTTTAGATCTGATTTACTGCAGGAATTCATGCACATTTTGTCATCAATGAGGCCTGTGATGAACAAGCAAATGTGATTATGCGTTTATAAAGAATTATGCGACGTGATATCAGCGGGTAAAGTCTTCAGGTTGTTAAAAGATTCTCCCTCAGACTAAACTAATCCATGTGATCTGCTCGAGAAGCCGACTTTGACTCACTGGAGTCGTCTGCATTATGTAAGTCCCCGAAGCTACGCCGATGAGTAAGAGTTAATGAACTTATAGTAGTGTGAAATATCTCCCCCTCCCACCCTCCTGACATTCTAGTTCCTCCCTTGTTCTTGCCCCTCTCGCTCCAGCAGCGAACTCGTTGGCACCCACCTATGTTTCCCTCGGTGGCAACCAGCAACATTCCTTCATCCTGAAACGTCTTCCTGTGCAACAAAAGCGGGAAAAGATGTGGAAACGCTGTGCTTCAAGCGCCCCTCGCCTTGAGTTTCACTGTTTGCATGCACAACAGCAACAATGTGATTGTGATGAGGTCAGCTGTAGCCTGTTGCCATGGCAGCGTGCGTACAGTGTTGTCAATAGTAGAGAAGTTTCCCCCCCGTTTCCTCTCTCCCTCCACCGCCTGAACACAACAGTGACTCATCACCTGAAAAGAGAAATCACCACCGTTAAGTGAACAAAGACACCAAACACCAGCTTTTGTATGTGTGTGAAGTAGACGGAGAAGGGAGCAAAGGAGGAGGAGGAGGAGGAGGAGGTGGAAAGAGGACAGACAGAAAAAAAAAAAAAAAAGGCAGAGATTATGTGATCAACCAAGCAAGAGGCTTGTCTGGGGTGTGGACTTAAAAAAGAGGGCAGGGTAAAAGTGGGCGGATGGCTAGCCTCTAGTGTTTGTGCATTTAGGCTCAGAGTCTGAAATTAGTGTCCTTGAGAGCAGCAGGAATTAGACCCAAAGAGACAAACAGCCATCAAACAGTAAGTCTGCTTTTTATTAAATCTGTTCACTTCCATACGACTGGAGTTGGATAGAACTTCTTCTGTAGTTGGCGCATCTTTTTGTTTTTTAAATTTCATATTTGAGAAAAGCTGCTGCTGCCTCTGATGATGATGAAATAAAAAGTGGAGTTAGGTGTGTTCGCTGCACCCAACAGGTCTGATCACCTCCACGGGCTTCAGATTGCTATTCAGCAGGTTCGGCTGCTTCACCACCACTTGTGGTAAATAGTTGGGATGTTTTTTTCTTTTAAAGACGCAGGACTGTGTTTGTGTACCTCCCGACCAGATGTGTTTAGTTTGGTGTCATGGAAAATGTGCTGCATCCAGGAGGGATTTAAAAAGTCTCCTTCTCTGGCTAGATTTCTGGAGATCAAAGTTTTCAACAAGCGTGTTTTGAGTTAAAGCATCAGAAGTTTTTCATTAAACTTTGGTCCTTTTTTTTTTTTTTTTTGCGCTTCGGGCTAAAACTACTCAGAACAAACATTTACAAACTTCACTCTCAGCGGTTTGAGTCGGATGAAAGGTGGGAAGCGCTGGATTCGGAGATGTGTCGGGCATGTGTTGAGCTCGCCGCCAGCGTCTCGTACATGCGTGTGGTTGCGTGTGAGTGTGTGAGGACCCAGCCCTTGACCACTCCTTTTGCCATGGAGGGAACCAGCACATTCCAGATGTGCCTCTTCCTCTGTTCACACCCAGTGCAGCATAAACACTGCACACAACCACCAACGTATAAATAAGATGATATCCAGTCCTGGCTCACCTGGAGGGGGACAGTAAAGTTACCATCAGGGGGCAGAGAGCTGCAACTTTTCTAAATGACTGAGGGAGTGTTCTGGGGCAGTTTTGTGCGTAGTAATCTAAAGCAGGGGGGTCACGTGTGGACCAGCTAGGTGGAGGAATAGCATGTATTCGTTATTTCAGGGAGTGGCGGGCTTCTTGGAAGAGCCAGACAAGCCCAAACTCATCTGCCCGCCGTGAACTTCCCTCCTTAATTGTCTCTGTTGCTCTCAGAGAGTACATGTTGGCCCAGCAGGGGTTTTTAATATCTGCATTAGCCTCCTCTCTGGTTCCTGATGCGACACATTATCTTGCCCTCTGTTTGCAGGCACTTTTATTTTTTTTCTTTTTACTGGGAGTGAGTTAGCTGTAACTCAAAGTAATTAGAAGTTAAAGAAGCCACGCCCTGACTGGGTGCCAGGTTCTGGCCTTGCTTTCTGAACCAATGTTTTCATCGACGTGTGTGTGTGTGTGTGTGTGTGTGTGTGTGCGCTCGGGGCGGGTATTAATGGCTTCCTTTATGAAAGCGAGCAACAAGTTTGGAGCTTTTGTTTTGGGTCGTACTTCCCTGTTCCATTGCTCTGTTTGGTGTCTATTTAAGGCCTCCTCTGAGTTACTGTTATATCACATCGTAAGGTTCTGTTAAATGCTCAAAACAAACCTCCTCTTTGTGCCTTCCCCTCTGCAGCACCGCCATCATGCTGATCCTCCTCGGTGCCATCTTCGCCCTCCACATCATCGGCATCGTCCTTCTCCTGGTGGCCACCATTGACAATGTGAGTCAGGTTGCATTTTAGTTTTTCAAACACGGTCACCGCACACGTAAACACCCGACGGCCTCGGGGCGTCGTTTCCCCTCCGTAATCCCCGACTTCCTCCCCGGCGCGAGCGTCGTGTACGCCTCTGACAGAGCCGAGACTGATGAGCGGCTCGCTGCTCATCACTGCCGGCCTTCATTCCTTCCCCGTGAGCGGTTCTGCTCAGGGCCGCATATTTAACATTTCTGGGTGACAGACGGGGCCGGCCCACCTGGTGCCGCCGAGTGCAAGGTGACATACTTGCATGTAAATAAGTGAGATTCTCGGATGTTGAGCAGCGGAGTGAGATGTGTGGAACGCTGCAGGTGTCAGAAGCCACTCTGCTGCTGGGCTGCACTGATCCATTCATTGTCCTTAAGCGTGTGAGATGCTTGTTTGTATTTACACAACTGCTGCAGCATTAACGTTTTGTGTCCCGTCAGGCCTGGTGGGTGACCGACGACGTCTACACCGACGTGTGGGCCCGATGGGTGAAGATCAACGACGCGTGGAACCTCACCGACCTTCCCTCAACCTACCCATCCAGTAAGAAACGCATTTCATCGACGCTCGAACACGCAGCGTCGCAGGCGACCATCTTGTTTTTCCAAGACATGTTTATGACCAAAATAAAGACAGGAAGTATATTTAGGTGTCATTAATTAAGAGGTTATGGGATTTGCTCAGATTTGATCAACCAAAGCAGCTCTCTAACCGTGACCAGATTTAGATGGTTGTGGATCCTGGTTGTCTGTTCATCGCTTAGAACTAGAAAGTTATCGATACTATAAGTTTTTATCTATTGTAGTGACAGCTTCAGCTCAAATCTGTTCTTCTTATCAGCGTTCTGGGAGCTGAAGTGTCGTTTTCATCCTCTACTGTTTTAAATCCTCCCAGAACATGTAAATCAGCCGGACAGTTATCTGAGCGTTTGCATTGCAAATCGAGACGACGGGACACGAAGCTGCTTCTCAAAACCTGAAGCAGTGACTCGTCCTGCATCTCCTGAAGCTTTTCTTATATGATACAGAAAAACTTGCAGCAACAAAGCAACTAGACTTTTGTTTAGTTCTCTTAGGATTACTGTGACCTGGAGAATCTAGTTGTGAAACGAGGATTTGATGATGTACGGTTGTTGTTTGCCTTCGTGTGACATTCGAATGCGACGTTCCTGCCATTCAGCATCTCAACCGTCTGCTCAGAGTTACGAGTGTGTCTCCGGGGAGTGTCTCTCTGACTCCTCATCTCTCTCTCTGGCTCCCCCTGCAGACTACCTCCAGGCAGTGCAGGCCAGCTCCGTCCTCGCCTGCATATTCTCCATCCTGGGAATCTTTGTGTTCGTGGCTCAGCTCTTCACCCTACCGAAGGGACAGAGGTTCACCATCTCCGGTATATTCCAGCTACTTGCCTGTGAGTATTGCTTTCACCCTCCGTCTCACGTTTGATGCCGTTCCTGCTCTCCCCTCACCCACACCTCCACGCCTCCTCCTCCTCCCCTCCAGGCCTGTGCATCATGATCGCGGCCTCCATCTACACGGACCGCTTCCACCTGGACGAGCGCAACGGCTGGTACGGCCACTGCTTCATCCTGGCGTGGATCGCCTTCGCCCTCACGTTCTTCTCCTGCATCACCTACTTTGTGCTACGTAAGAAGACGGCGGCGTGAGAGAGACACTAGATCTTGCTCCGGACAGCCCAAAAAAAAAAAAAATTGTTTGGGTTGGTTTTCTTTTTTGGGTTAGGATTTTTTTTTTTTCGGTCACAGATGATGAGATTCGAGCTGCTAGCGTACGTTCAGCTGTAGATACACGCCGGACCTCTCAAATACGTTCTGGTGTTCGGCCGAGTCTGCTCTCAGATAATCAGGGTTTTTAAACGGCAGACTCGGTCGATCACGGCTGTATTTAGGTTCTATTTTATTTGTTTTTGTTTTTTTTAACTGGGCTGGATTTCTTGAGGGCATCTAAGAATATTTTTGTTGTTAACTGAATGGAAAAGACCTTCATGTTTATAAGATAAATTAAGATCTATCAGGAATCCTGTCTTTGAAGAAAAGCAGGTTTGAAGAGTAAAATCTGTGGTCTTTTTATTTCTGTTTTTTTGTTTTTTGCAATGTACATTTACACGTGATAGAGTATTAGATTAACAAGGGGGCGAGTTTTGGATTTTTTTGTTTGCATTATTTTATTTGATCTGTTTTATATTTCATCTTGTCTTACTTCCTATCATGTGCCACTAAATAAACGGAGTGTAATTACAGCGTGATGGCTTCCTATGGATCATAACGGATTTCTCTATAATCTAATAATACGATAAAAACAGCAATAACACAGGTTGTTTCGTGATATTTTTCGTGAGGAAGACGCCGAACCGAGACGAATAATCTACACAGTCGTGGATGAAGGAGCAGAGAGTCCTGCTTCATGTGTTCTAGGGAATTTGGTGGAAATGTCACGTAAAGAAAAACCCAAAATCAGGCGACATCTCAAGATATACCCGAGCTTACGTGGCTCTGATTCTCCCAGTAGATTGGAGCTCATGTTTTCAAGGCCGAGGCGTTGTTGTGTCTGTTGGTAACGTCACGCTGGTTGTTATTGGAGGGAACGAATGCACAAGTTTTAAATATTAAAGGACGATTTACTCTTCCTGTGCCTCTGTAACATACATTATTGTAGCCGGTTCTATAAACACCTGAAGCACACTGAACTCGCCACGAATCAGCCGCTAGAATAATACTTCTGGTTTTAAATCCAACCGTATTCCAGCCTTCACGAGATCTCATATAATTAAATTAATTAAACATGGCCCCAGATGTAATGTGTAAATACGATCTGTTCCCTGACAATTATCTGTACGTCTGATACTGTTTTATTTTTGTTACTGTTATTTGTGAACGACGATGATTTGTACGAACATTAAAATGTGATTTTCAACCAGTCGCTGAAGTCGTTTTTGTCAGCGGATGTTTGATATGTTCTCCTGGTGTTAGATTGGTTTCCTGATGTGAGTCTGATGATCAG